ATTTACGAACCTCCATAGTCATGTCTGGCATCGGACTGAACAGAGAATTCCCACACTTAATAATTTCTATCGTTGTGTCCGCCTCCCTCCCTTACCCCTTTCAACCCACACCCCCACCCTTACCCCAACATTGCCGACCGCACTAGTCTTGACGGGCATTGGCCTGAATGGGGAATTCCCCTTATCAGTGCCGGAGCTGGCGGAAGATAACTTTGGCAGCGGAATCTTCATCCCAGTACCGACAACTCTGGTAGAGATTCCCTGGGCCTCCTCCCCCGGATGTAGAGTGGGCGAGGTCATAGGTCACATCCTCACGGAGAAGGGAGTTCCTGATGAGATGTCCATCAGAAATATGGTATTGTCAAAGTTTTATTTTGTTGTTACATTCAGATAGGTATGTGGGTTCCTGTTAATCTTAGCCTTGTCAAACGATCTTTTGAGTTTGGTGGATCAAGGTATTGTATCTCTAACTGACCACTGTTTTGGGAGACATAATTTTTTGTTGCTTGTTTGTTTTTACTCTGGTATTGTTAGACATAATGCACGTGCGTGCACACACACAGTCAACACACACACACACACACACACACACACACACACACACACACACACAAACTCAAAAACACACACATGTTATATATACACAAGCACACGCACACTCGCGCGCACTCATAGACAATATATAAATAGCACTGTGCTGAAACGGCAATTTATTTAAGGGCAAGACATAAGTATAACCATGATCCTTTATCCAAATTCGATGATATCAGAATCTTGTTCTTGAATTCTGTATGTTGTTTAAGCATCCCACTCAGGCCATAAATAAAATTTAGGCCAAAATATACAGTCGAGGAAACGACCAACGAACTCATTGCAACACTAAGAAGCCAGCAGTAGAATCCAACTAAAAAAGATAATTGAACCCAAAGAAAAGTTTTTGGCCAAAATCAGAATATGCCCTGAGTATTTGTTTTGATTATAGTAAGGTTTTACGGCGCTCGCAACTGCATAAGGGTATATGAGCGCCATACTCCTGGTGTGTTGAAAGTAGGTTTTATTGTTGATGTCATAGCTTTATAGTTACCCATTAGCTGTTTCACTGCACCCTTTCTTTCTCACTTTCTCTCTTTCTCTCTCCCCCTCTCTCTCTTTCTCTCTCTTTCTCTCTCCCCCTCTCTCCCCCTCCCTCTCTCTGTCCCTCTCAGACACACACGCACCCTGCCTCAGACATACACTCTCACAATATCAAGACACACACCTGAAATGGTCACACAATCATATTTGCCATGATTTCTTGCCCAGAATATGAGTTTGTTCAATTAAATTAACTGCCAGGACATTAATTGCCTGATTTGCCTTCTGTTAAGTTCTTCATTACTTCTTTCTGTGAATATTACCAGATAGAGGAGCTTCTGCTTAAGTTGGGCAATATGGGACTGTCTTTCAAGTCAAGCATCTCCTCCCAGTTCAAAGCCTTCAAACAAGGAACAGACTACACAGAGGTTTTAGGTATCGTACACTCAAGCACTCATGCATTTTTATAAGTAACTCCAGCTGCAAGTTAGGTTTATAGTACTTTGGTGTTGTTCTTGAGAAATGGAGTTTCTTTGTTATAGGTATAGTGTTATAAATCTTATAGAACTAGTATTTTTATAGCGTGTGTGTGGTTGTGTGTGTGTGTGTA